TGCTTAACATGATAGAAGAAATAATAAAATACTAGCTAAACACTGAAAAGAACAATTTGGCCATTCTGATCTTTGTGATCACTAATAGTCTATCCAGACTTTTCAAACTTGACGTTGCATTGTGCAGAAGGAAGTGAGTGTTTGTGTGTGTGTGGGGGGGGGATGATTGTGATTGCATTCTAGCCTCAGCCTTGCTCAACCTAATTTGGGACATATTTCTGGACATTGTCTGGCCAGACTTTATGGACCTGCCAGTCCATGGCTGGCTGTTTATGTTTGTTCTCTAGCAAATGCGTAGTGAAACCTACAAATTCATTTGTTCACTGGCAATGACAGTCAAATTTTCAAGTTCAGCATGTAGGCTACACCTTCTGTGACGTTTATGGGTTAATGCTGCTGACACGGAGCAATGGCCTTTGCTAATGTGAGTATGAACCCAGTGTGCCTTCAAGGTGTATATTTAAGATGACAGCGTACAGAGAAAAGAGTAAAGAGCGCAGTCCACTTGCCTTTTTTTGGTGGGGAGGGCTGGTTTAGCTGGGATGTGTTCCATATCTGTAAAATGATTATTACATGGCTCATGGAGTGTCTGGGGGGGGGGTGTCCCAGCACATGAGAAGCAATGTTTGTTGTTTTTCTTCTTTTACTGTCCTACATAAAATTTTCTTAGTCTATCTTGTTTCTAAATTATACCAATCCAAGGATAACTGGGGGAGAGGAGGCTTACCACTGACTCGTACTAATAATTTCCCCGTATTGACTAGGCACATGGAGAGACCTGCCCATCTTGTGTGAAAGTTTACATTTTACTTTATGGTTCAAAGAATTAGAAACTATAGGCTTATATAGGCAAAAGAAATCCTATTTAAGTGCCAAGGTGGGATTGTCATTATCTATGCATTTGCAGCTCTTCAAAATGATATTTATAAATACATCTCTGGAACTATTTAGCTGGGTGAAAGGCAAGAGCCATAAAGATTTCTTGAACAAGGCTTGAAAGTTTAATCATTGTCCCTAATTGAGCCCTCCCCCAAGAGGCAGAACTACAGAGTACAAAAACAGTTGGTCATTAATGACCCCAGCCCTTTCTGTGACACGAATCTCTCTCTGTCTGCTAGGGTTCTGTGGCTGCGTGAAGGAAGTTGCGTTTACACGGGGTGCTGTCGTTAACTTGGCATCTGTGTCCAGCCATGCTGTCAGAGTCAATCAGGACGGATGCCTATCAAGTGACAGTACTGTTAACTGTGGGGGAAATGACTCCATCCTGGTTTATCGGGGACGCAGGCACAGTGTTTACGAGAGCGGTCTCCAGCCCTTTACAGGTAACATGGAGGTCTCTAAATTAAATGCTACAGGTCTGCCATTAGCTTTCCTTCCCCGTGCTGACAGCCCACTGTGAGTTTGTAGGAAGCTGCTTTTCAACTCTCTACTTCTTCTTTTCCTTTAAGAATACCTGTACCGGGTTACAGCCTCACACGAAGGAGGTTCAGTGTCCAGCGATTGGAGCCGTGGACGCACACTGGGCACAGGTAAAGTCTGCTGATTTTCAAACATAGCTGTGCACACATGTGCTTGTGTCTGTGCACATACGAACTACGTACTGGAGCAGCACCAGGTTTGTTTGACAATGACTGTGATAAAAACACGGTACAGCTCTGCATTTGAGTTTGTAAGAATTAAGTAATGGTTGCTAAGGCTTCTCCCCTGTCTTTAAATGCACAGAAAAGAAACTGAGTTACTTACAGACTTAATAGGTGCTACCACGCTATTTCAGAGTGAGAAACCTCTCAGCTGTCTGAATGGCAAAAGATAGAAGGCAGACACGAGGAGAGCATCAGCCTGGATGATACCTTCTTTAGTCTCACAGAGAGCTCACTCAAAATTCATACTTGGTTAGAATCAGGTATACCTCTTTATCATGTCCTAGAATATGTTTGTCATGGCGGTGAGCAACAGCATTGTAGAGTGATTCTCAAGGGCAAGAAGTTTCAAATTAGTTTAATGATTTTAAATCAGAGAAGAAACAATGAGGAGACTGTTAGACCAGATTCTGGACACCTGAGCAGCAGGTGTTTTGTACTTCTGACTGTGATGGCTCATTCTTCCCTCGGGCTGCATGATTGGGAGCTATTGATCATCAAGTGTTTGGTAGATCAGTAATTGTTCATCAGTCCAGTCAAATGTCTGTCAGGAAGTCCAGCACATCAGTGGTGGCTGTCGTCCCTAAGAACAGTTTCTCCAGCAAGTAATAATTGGCCTAAAACATGTTTCCACCATGATATTCTTTCACATTTCTCAATAGTAGATCACCACCACAGACACCCTTAAAGGGATCTTCATTTGAAGGGTGTGAAATACTGACATGGATCACAAACAATAACTTGCAAGGCTTACTGCCTATATATTTTCCAGAGAAGATGATAGGAGGCTCTCCTGAGATGATTTAAATAATTACCTACTTACAGACAAGACAGTAGGGCAAATGTCCTTTATAACTGCCTCAACCTCAGAGAGGGTAGAAAACTCAGAATAAAATAACCTGGGGTGACTGACAGCTTCTACCTGTTTCATAATCCAGCGTGTTCTTGGCAAATACACTACAAAAGTTGGCAATTTAGTGGGTATCTAGAAAACATGTTGTTTACATAACTTACTCCCCAGCTTGACCCCGCTGTAGAGCTCTGAAGGCACAGCCATGATCTGGCCACGCATCCTATGTCAGGAATCCACATTTGCAATCTGACCGCAACACCAAGCAGCTCCCGAGGGCTAGAGAATAATTGCACTATTTAATTATTTTTGAGTTGGTTTTGCTCTGTCCCTTATGAGAAGACCATCTGGTAGACAGTACCATCTTTGCCCTGCACCACATTTCAGAACTAATAAAATCAGCATCTCTCCCCCTGTCTCTCTCCTGGCACCTTGGATGTGTGTACTGCTTTCTGTGGGTGCCCGTAGTGTTTTCAGTGCAGGGAGAGCTGTTCTCTGTGTCTCCTCTCATCCTTTATGTTCACTTTGCTTCCTTTAAAGCTGTCCTGTTGTATTGGTCTGAACAGTAGAGCCAGGGAGGAGACTGTTTGATGCAGGAAACCCGACTGTCTTCCACCGTCCATCGAATGGGCTCTGAAGCCCAGGAGCAGTTAGAGCCGCACCCTCATCCATCATCCTGCCACACAGTTCCTTGGGCTCTTTCTTTGTGTCCCCAGCGCAGTCAGCTGTGATGAAGTTGTTACTGATCAGAGCTGTGTAAATATCTAATAAATAGTTAAAGGTTATGGATTTTTGAAATCAGGGCTCAGCCTACAAGGTCTTTTATAGTTCCTATAAGTGTTTTCATTTTGTTCTGAAGTACTCTGAAAAGAATGTCTCTAAAACTGATTTTAAAGTCTCTCCAGGGCACTAACTCCCTTAATCCCACCCCCAATGCAATTAAAACTATATCCTATATATCATACCTGCTTTGCCTTTTTTGAAAACCGTTTTAAAAAACAATTAAATTTAGAAAGTGAAAATAGCCATCTAAGTACCATACACAACCACATGTGTGATTTTCTTTCTTTTTCTGGCTACCTAGAAGACATAAAAATGCCAGCTCGCTGTGTGTAATAACAGACTAATTACCTCGCTCCAAAGTGGCACATGTTATATAGCTTCACCTTGTTACCCGCCGACCGTGTACCTCCTTCCTGATGAGTGTTGCTCAAACATGTCGGGAATAGTCGGTGTTTGGAGGAAAACCTGGTCTCAACTTAAAAGGATGTTATATCAATGGAGTTTTGATGGTTTTGAAATATAGCTTAAACTGAATGGCTCAAGATGTGCAGTCATATTAAATCAATGCTGAAAAGTTACAACTCTAATAAATTGTATTTATGCTAATGGTCGGGTCTGATTTACGGCTGCCATTAAAAGTGAGGAATAGGAACAATCATCTTCTCACACTGGCGCCTGCTCTCCCTCTCTTTTATTCTTTCCCAGCTCCAGAGAGTGTGCCAACTCCCTCAAGAGCCCAGAGCATAAGTGGATATAGCATTGAGGTGGCCCGGGATAAGCCTGCTGTGGTTAAAGGCATCCTGGAGAAGTACACCCTGAAAGCCTATGGGGAGGGCAGCCCCCAGCCCCGCGTGCCCTCTGCCAGCGCTGAGCTCGAAGACACCGGCGTCCTCAAGGGTAAAGGAGACCCCTTAGGACAGTCCGTCTGACAGGTTCCTTTGTTTTGATTTTGGATCACAAAATGTTCTTCACACTTTATTCCCCCAAATACATGGAATATATGGGTTTTGACCTGGCAGAAAACAACAAAATGAGGCAGAGCTTAATGGTAAACCAGAAAGCACAATGCTTGGGGAGCTAAGGTAGGAGAATAATGAATCCAAAGCCATCTTGGGTTACATTGAAAGTATGAAGGCAATCTAGGCTTTATCGCAGTACCCTGTTTCAAAACAAACAAACTCAAAAAAAGAAGAAAAAACCCACCAACCAAACAGAGGAATCAGTGTGATAGATCCTGTCTCTATCTGCCTAGGATAAAAAGAGTAATTCTATACAAAGCACACAGACGTCAGTGAATACAGGTCCATTATTCAGTTCATCTTCTCTCCTTCTTCTAAGGACCAGTAATAGTATTCATAGCCTTCAAATATTTCATAAACATCTTTTAAAAGTCATGCAAACATGCATACGAAAAATGTAAACCATATACGTGTATATGCATTTACAAATCCATGCACAGATATGTATATGACCACTTCACATATTTTACCAGTAAAACTTTACTCTTTGGGACTAGCCCAAGTTCACAGAACCATTATTTATTGTAAAATTGCTGATTAAACCTAATTATCTGAAGGTGGATGGGGGTTGTAGCCCCAGCCATTTGACTGGCAAATCAGGGAATCAATTTTTCACAGTGCAGTTGTCCATGAAGAATGATTAGAAGAGAAAACACCCACACCTCACTGACACCTCCTACACCAAAATCCGTGTGTGGGGGGGAAGAATACTTTTCAGCTTTGGGAAACGTTTGAGCAGATTTAGCTAGAAAACCAAGTAGAAGCCTTTGTCCTCAAGAGGAAAATCTCTCCACTACAGGAAAATATCTGTAGCTGGAGTCTTCATATAGGTGTGCTCATGAGCATGTTCTTTTCAGCATATGCTTGTACAACCTCAAGTCTTTATTCCCCAACTTTAGAAGTTATATGTGTAGTGGAAATGTGTACGCGTCACCAAATTTTATTTACTTGTTGTGGATGTGTTTGTGTGAGCACACAAGCCACTGGGCATATGTTGACATCAAGAACACCTTGAGATGGTCATTCTCTCATTCCACCATGTCGGACCCAAGGATGGAACCCGAGTCATTGGGCTTGGTCTTGGGTTCCTCTATCCACTGAACCAGTTCATCATCCCATGGCCAAATTTTACATAAAAAAAATCATGTTCTCCACTTCCTTCTTCTAACACTTCCTGATGGAAGGTCAACCTCACTATGTCCTTTTTCCATGCTGCATAATTGGCTAGGCAAACTGGAAGCTGCCAAGCAGTTCATCATGACAGAGCTCAAGCAACCAATCCCACCCCATTTCTATAGCAAGACCAGGATCTCTCCCTCCCATTTCCACAAGCCCCTACTTATAGTCTACTTTTTCCAAATTACCCAAGTATGAATATCTTCTCTACATCCCACTCACTGTTGTCTTCACAGTTTAGATCACATAGATACTGCAATGGAAGGTGAGTCCACCGTGCAGGATTTAGTTAACTTTCTGATCACTAAACACATGATCCCTTGAGCATTATTATCGCCTTCTAATCATCTATTCCCTCCACATATCTATATTTGGCAGTCATTTTCTCAAAGTGTTTGTAAGACCCCCTCCATGCCTTCCTATCTCCTGATGACGTCAAACTGAATCTCTTCTCTGAACACCTAGAGCACCAAACCTCCTGCGACTCTTTTGCTATTGTGAGCATGAGTCTGTCCTGCAGGACTAGGTGTATCTGTAAGGGCCCTCCCAGAGAGGTTTGACAAAGGAGGAAGATCCACCATGAATGTAGGTGACACTCTCCTGTGGGCTTAGAGTGTAGAAGGAATGAAAAGGAGGAAGCGAAGTGAGTACCAGCAGTCACCTCTGCCTGCTTTCTGTCCGAAAACCCTTGTTTTCATATGTTGCTTTTACCAGCTATTTTTCACAGTGTTGAGAAAAGATATATAGAGGGATTTTAAATAACCTTCTGGGTTCTTCTTTCATGTTTTTCTTAACCTTTGAAATGGAAAAATACTATATACCCAAAAGAATATTATTATTACATGATCCATTCTAGCTCTGAGACTTCTTCACTGTTGCAAGTTGGACACATCAGTTGAACTCTACATGCTTCAGATTCCATTTATGCTAATGAAAATGAAATACAACTGCTTACCCTATAAGACAACCAGAGAAAATAATACCATTTCTATGTAGAACACATACAATGATGTTTGGCATGTGAAACATAAGAACAGGAGCTGTCCAAGGCTGTACGCTATATGCACAGTTCTTAATATCTGGTGAATCTTTGCAAACAAGTAAGCAGTGATTTCAGGGGTTATCCATTCCAAAAATTTGTACAAATTTTCCTAATTTGTACTTCTGCCAGCAAGGAGAACACAAGAATTTACATTTCATTTTATCTTAGCCACCACTAAATTTTATGTTTTTTTTTAAACCTTTGAAATTTGGAGAATGAAAAGTTTGAAAGATATTATTTTAATTTATACTTATTTGGTTGCTAGAGACACTGTTTGGATAATTACTAGTTATACTTCTTTTGAGATGTGGCCTAAATTGGCTACTTGTTATTTTTTGTAGTGCCTGGGTCACATTTTTCCTTCTAAATTATCTCTCTACTTATAAAGAATACTTGATTTTATCTTAAATACTATAGACATTCCAGATTTTGCCATTTTTATTTGCTTTGTACTTTATACAGAAATTTAAAACTATATTTTGTATAGTTGATATAATATTTTCATTTTTATGAATTATTTAAAAACCAAGAATCAATATTTTAAATTCAGGGTAAATTAATATTTTTTTCATGTTAGATAGGTCAACTATAAATACCTTGCTTACAATAACAAATTTACATTTAGAGTACAGTCAAGTCAGATACTGAGCATGGAGAAGTCTTTCTAAGATTCTGGAAGATGTCTCCCCAGAGCAATGGTTCAACCTGTGGGTCACATATCAGATATCCTGCATATGAAATATTTATATTACAATCCTTACCAGTAACAAAATTACACTTATGAAGCAGAACAAAATGATTTTGTCGTTGGGGGACACCATAGCATGAGGGAACCATATTAAAGTGTCGCAGGACTAGGAAGGTTGAGAACCACTTTCCTAGGGGAAGAACAGGCCGTCTTGAGAACCAGGACAGTGAATTAATTCATGTTACCATAGACATGGGAAGTATATGGATGAGGTGTAGGGAAGAGAAAGTTATAAAGCGGTTACTGATTTTCTGTGTGTCATCTATTGATGAAGAAGGGGTAAAAAAATCTCAATTATCAATTCAGTGTTCCATTTTTTTTCTCAAAACACTGTTTCTATCGACATTTTTGTTCTTATGACTTTCTATATTCAATATGTCTGTTTTAACCTTTGAATGCACAGTGGGTTAGGGAGTCCTGTGGTTGGACTGAGTTTTGGATTCATCCTGAAATTCTGTGTTCTAGAAGCAGAATTTTGCTTGTTCACTTTTATTGGTTGTAGGATTGACTTATTTCTGCCTTCAAGGTGTGATAGAAAGCTGCAGGTGTTACAGTTTTCTCATTGTATGGATATTTATGTATGTGGTGTGTGTGTGTGTGTGTGTGTGTGTGTGTGTATTGTTGTTGTTGTTGTCGTTTTGCAACCTGGTCCCATGCTGTAAGTCCAACTGGCTTGGAATGCTCTACCTAGAAGGTGCATTCTTGTTGGAGCAGGTGTGTCCCTGGAGGTGAGTTTTGAGGTTTCAAAAGCCCACCCCATTCGCAGTCGGCATTCACCCCACCCCTTCCTCTCTGCCTCCTGCTTGTGGGTCGGATGTAAGTACTCAGCTACTGCTCCAACATCATTCCTGCCTGCCTGCTGCCATGTCCCCTGCCATTACAGTCATGGATCTTAATCCTCTGGAACAAGATTGAGGGGATTCAAACTCTGGTTCACACTTGCATCGCAATTGAGTCACTTCTCTATGCCCTTCTTCCTCGTACTGTCTATTCCTGCCAGTGCAGACCCAGGGCTCACTGACTTGGTCCTGAGAGGTGTGCTTGCTGCTTGCATCTCTGATGGGCAGGCAATGACATGTGCAGATGGGATTGTAAGGAGCAAAGGCAACTTCAAGTTTGCCAGAGAGCTTTGTGTATGCAGAAACAGAATAATGGAGGGTCCACATGCAATGAGCACTGTGGAAGTCACCTTGGGTAATTATCTAGGGCAAAGAATTCCAGAGTAAAGAAAATGAAGACCAGCAAGTGAGATGAGGAGACAACAGAGCAGGTCCCAGGGCTGGACTGGGTGACAAGGAGAAAGGTGAGCAACTAGGCAGAGTGGCAGTGCTCCGAGAAGCGGCTACTATCACAAGAACGAGCCTGGCTGTCACTCTGGGAAGTAACTCTCCATTGGCATAACTGAGGTGACTTTGGTTGAGATTTTCATGTTTTAATTAATTTTGCTTTTTAGGGACACATTTATTTGAATAAAATAATGCTGATACCGGATGTATGTATAGGCTGTTTAGATTTATTGCCTGATACAGGATTCTTTACCAATTAAGTAGAAAAGTATTTTCAGAAAATGAGTTTGTCCCTTTTCATTAATTATTTTTCTATTTTATAATGAGCTCTTTTACTCTCCAGATTTGGGTCTTTTGTCTGTGAAAAAATCGGCTTTCTATATGATCTCACTTTTTGTGAGAAATAGTGAGTTTTCGGTTTAACTCTTCCTTCCCAGGTTGCTGTCCCCGTATTTCAGTTGTTCAGAACTTGTGTTAAATCGGTGTATGCTGAGTCTACTTCTACCAAGGATCTATACAAGGTCACAGCCACATCTGAAGCGATATTCCTGAACCAGTTTCTCATCTCAGTGGGGTGCAAAACTCTCAATTATATAATGATTGCAAGGGCAAAAGTGAATTCCTTG